CGAAGTCGAGGTTTTCGCGACGTCGTCTCTTTTTGCAGTGCGAGGAGCGTGCCCCTAGGCCACGGCGGGTCCAACCTGACCCAGCCTAGGTCGCTGCAGAGTCGCCAGAGATCCAGACTAGACGTCGGCGCGACGCGACGCGTGGGCTACCACCGCTCACGAGACAACAAGAAGGAAAACTTACATAATGTGTTCGCAACGAGTATCGGAGGACTATCAACATGTTTATTCGCAGCATCTTTCAATCCTTCTCTTATCTTTTTTTTTTTTTTTGTGGAACGGACCGGCTCTGAAACTCGTTTTCGTTGGAACCAACTTCTGCTGAATCTCCTTTTACGTTTTCAAAAAGGAAATTTCGCATTTGGTTTCAAGACCTCTTTTGATTTTATTTCCAGTTCACATTAAGATTCCATTTAACGCAACCCAATTTTAAGATCCTTGATGAATAATGTATTATTAATTATTTTTACTTATTTTCACATACTACAATTGGTATTTTCGATCGAGAGAAATATTTAATTAATTAATACAAATGTTAATCAATTTACACACATTGTTAAGGTCTATATTGTCAGAGCAGTAACCAGTACGTGAGAGGCGCCTACCATTTGCGCAAATTTTCACATCTATTTTTAATCTTTTCTGGATTAGGGGTTATAAGTTAACCCTTTGTGTCCCAACCTAATTTTTTGGATAAATTAGGTTAAAAATGTGTATTACTTTACGAATGAATTTCTATTTTTGTTTAGTATTTGAAAAAAACATCCACTTTATCTTTATGTCCCATAGTGGAACGACTGGCACACAAAGGGTTAAACATTAGCCACTTCTATTAAGTCATTGAACATTGTCTTAAAAATATTGAATATATATTATATTTCATTGAAACTTAATTCCTGTCCCACTAACTTTACCTTATTTATGTTTCTGACCTTTTAATTTGAAATTATTTTATAAAAAAAAATTAGTGGTATATTGATATGTGTTAGGAACAGGGACGGATTTAGGTATAGACTTTATGGGCTGCAGTTCAATCAAAACGTCCTCTTCACGGTAAAATATAATAAACATGAACACAATTAAACCAAAATTTTGTTAATTAGGAGTCCCCAAATAATATTAGTCCAGGTCCTTGATGTTGGTATATCCCTTGGCTATTGTAGTAGCCCACGGCCGCAATTATCTTAGGACGAATATCTTCAATTTGGAATACAGTCAATTCCGCTTAATCGAGACAAATAGGGACTAGGGACCAATTTTCCGAAAATCCATTCCCATTTGTTATTTGGTCGGTTTTGTTTCCGAACTTTAGGATTTGTCCCTAAGAAATGGCTGTCCGGATTAACCGGTGTCTCGATTGTATAACTACTTAAATTACTTATTACTTAGATCTATAACAGTGTCTGCCAAACTGTGTGCTGAGGCACAGTAGTATTATGCTATAGATGTATCGCGACATATTTAAAAATATAGATCAAAATATTTGAGTATAGGATTTTGCTTTTGGTGTGCCGCGAAACAAATTCTTCTCGCTCAGTAAGTCAAAAAAGTTTGGCAAATACTAGATCAGTGTAACAATATAAAAGAAAAGAAATTTTCATCTTGATGTACACAAATCATTCAAAGTAGTCCAAATCATAGATCAAAAGACATCTACTAATGACTTCAACCTTTCCAAATAAGTTTGTTGGTTTTGTTTTAAGTGAACAACTTATTTGATATATAAGTCTATGCTTTTTTTTTGCAATGTTTGTTGCGATATTTCAAATTCACCAATAATAACGAGGTGTTTTTGGCCTCGAAAGACTTACAAAATATCTCCGCTTTAGTCGTTTCTTTGCGCCATGCACTTAGTAAAAGGCAATTGAATTTTATTGCCTTATTAGGTGTTTCGCAATATAATTTAATCGGAAAAAATATATGTATGTGCTGCATAATTAAGTCATTTGCTTTGATTCAAAATACAAGATTATAAGAGTATCTTTCTCGACACAATTATGTTTCTGAATAGATAAATATAAACATTAATCGAGCGCAATGCAATCGCAATAATAACAATTATTTATCGCTTCGATTTTCTATTTCTGGTTCGGCCGGTTGCAAGTGAATCACTCTGTAGGAATTCACGACACTTCGTTCCCATCTGTATATTCGAAACGGACAACAATATCATTGCAATCGCGTCCTTGGACCAGAAAGAAAAACCTGATGAAATAATGAATAAAGTATTATAGATGAAAATCGGGATGCTGCTTCCCATGGAACCTCTTCGCATAATTTAATTAATGCACAATTATCGCAATTACATTTAAATATTGCCATTGAAGATAAATAAAGTAAATAATACATTGGGGTCGACCTTTTTGACCCGCGGATCCCATTCACTTATTCATTCATACATTACATTCATTCATTCATTGATGAAATCCTCGCAATCGTGAATTGAAACTTTGTTATGTAACATTTGCCTTTGTATTTTTCCAGACGATTAGAAACGAAACAGCCGCCGCCGGTTCCCAAATTTCGAAAGCCTCTGGAGACTCAACGCAGCAGGGATTACCCTACGCCGACTTCGAGAACTAAACCATCGAATGCTGTAAAATCACGTAACAAGGTATGTAATGAAAGATGCGTTAATCTTATTCTTGAAAATAAGTAAATATTATTTTAGAATATTGAAGCCTCTTCGAGATCACGACCCACCTCGATAGATTTTGGTTTGAGGTAAGTTTGCCTCCTCCGGTTCGTTTTTCTTTTCGTTTCGTTTGATGTGTGCTTAGTAGGGTCGTTCTTTCCAGTTTTTACCCTACGTTTTTATCTATCTATCTCTCTGTTTTTTCTCTCTCTTTCTCTCTTATACACATATAGCCTTAATAACAGAAGAGACCTTTGTCTGGCATACGCGCATACGTACCCATATGCGATGATGCAACACGTGTGCACCAGACGGGGTCCCAGACCAGTTCCCACGGGAACAACCTGTGGCCAGTTTTTGCGTCGAATTACGTATTCCAGAAATGTTTATTGCTATTTTCGCATTTCCATCAGCAATATGAAAAAACGGTTACTGCTCAGATTGCTACGGCAAGTGTAAGGTGAGAGCACCGGCGAATGCACTCGTATGCAATTAAGTCGAGAAGCTAGAAAGAGAAAGTGTGCTCATGTTGTAGCAGAGTGCGTGAGATAAGATGGTTCCGCATGCGCACTGACTCACTAGGTGACTCGCTGAGCCATGTATAAGGTCCGTAATAAAATTATTTCTTAATATTATTATAACAATTATTATTTTTTATCATCTAAACAAGTCATTTAATTAAATATATTATTCTATCTCAATTAAGAAACAGTTTTAACTGAATATTAGGACAGTGCAATTAATTATAGACTAATGAATGTACAGATAATTTACTCTATTAAATGGGATAACTATATACAGCTTGTAGACATAGAAAAGTGACCAACTTTCATAGATTTATATCTATCTTACTTGTATTTTCATGTTTATATAATATTTAATACCGATAGTTTATAAATGGTGTCCCAAAATTGACGCAAGATTTGAATTAAATAGAAAACACAGTTTTTATCACAATCTGAAGACTAAAAACTGTGTTTTACTTTTGGGACACCCTTTAGTAATGTAACTATTCATATTTTCCTAAATCCAAAAAAAAAATAATTACTGCAGAAAGTCTATGATTACATTTGTTACACCAAATTTGTTAAACATTTTGAAACAAAATTTCATTGTACGTATTACATAATGGAGTACTTTAATTAAATATACATTATGTTTTTATTTAGCATTTCTATTACACTTTATAAGATTATGAAATGGAAATATCCAATATTAAATCTTCTTTATTAAAATTTAAATAAATTGTGATTGATAAACTAATTTATACACAAATAATATTTATTGAATTTCAATAAGAAACTTTCATCACTAACTGGACAAACTAGATGTTTTATGGGGTGTATTCAGGGTGTAATCACGTCAGCCTTTTGGGGTGGCAATTATTCTTAGTAGTTTATGGACGCCAAATATTTTAGGATGTATTTGTATTATCAAATTTTATTAGAAGTTGATGTTTGAGCAAACCCTGATCAAAATTTGTAAATTATTTACAAACATTATAAAAATATAACTCTTTATCAACTCTTTCACTCTTTCAATTATTTTGTTGTTATTTGTTATTAACACAATGACTGAATGATTACTTTCCAAAGACGACCAAAATGCAGATATATACATGCAAGAATATCTTCAAATTGTAGTTTTCGATTAAAAGATTCTTAACTCTTTGAGGAGTCAGAAATTCCTAAATTTCTAGACCAAACAAATTTTTTAACAACTGAATCAGACAACTTAGCAACTGAATCAACATCGGATGGTATAGACTATCAAGATTCATCCCTTCACATACCAACTAAACAAAATGGTAATTCTTCTTTCCTGTACATTTTCTATAAAATTAAAATACTGCCCTACTATGTCTAGTAATATTCAAAAGGTGGTACATTGCGTATACCAGGGGTTCCCAAACCGCAGCTGTACTACAGGGGCGCCGTGAAATGCGAAAATTCTGATATATTAACATAAAGTTTTCCCTGAAATAGACCAATGTTTTTACTTATTTTGAAAAAAAATATTTAACACTTCTTTTAAAATGGTATTAAAAATTAGGCTTATTTATTGGTTTCATCTGTCTTCTATGAAAAAAAATCTTTGTTCCTGATGTAAGAAAAAAAATCCATTCTTTACCATTCCTTTTTTCTCTCCACGAGAACAGTTACGAATGTGTTTTATTGTTATTACATGCGTGCGTTTCATCCCCTCTCAGTGAAGATTGGATCATTAATCTGTTTTTTAGTATTGGGCGACATCCGAACGATGCGAGTCCGTACCTGTTCTTTTGTGTCCGTCCCTCACTTTACCCGCTTAACGGTCCTTCAAAGCCTCGGATACGAGTGGAACTGCGGCCAGTCTGAGGTGCGACGTTCCGTGGTGACGGCTCGACATAAATACGAAAGAACATCAACATACAGTGAAAGACTGAAGACACGAACAAACAAGAATAAAAAAAAACACAACTAACCAAAGAGGAAATAAATAAATAATACAAGTAAATAAACGCGACGCACAGTGAAGATAGCTCTTCGATAGTAAACACAATATAGAAGTATACTTGTAAGACTCCTGTTGGTTCTTTTCTGATGCCAATGTTTATTGTTGTTGTTTTCTATGTCTTCGGCAAGTAAATCATCGTGGTGCTTCTGTGAGTGTCAGTGAGTGCATGAGAATAGAAAAGTTTAGCTTGGAGAACGTTGTTAGGAAGCAACAGGGCCGACAAGGGCTGGAAAAAAAGGTTTTGTTTCATGCTTTTCTTCGTGTTCTTCCCTTCAGCCGTCTTCGCCGAGTGCTGTGTGGTTTCGTCGAAGACAGGGGGAAGGGAAGAAGAAAGAGAGTGGAGAATGTGGAATTTGTGGTGTGGAATACGACCGGGTTGTAAATGATGTAGTTTTATTTCTACTACCCCCTTCGTTTTACGTAACGTTTTCAGATAATTACACGCCATTATTATTATTATTTTTTTTTTGTCCGGTCCGGCAAGGCTAAAACGTTTTGCCTCGAATTGCAAGTAATTAATGTTGGGTTATTTATAGATACAAGTAATGTTTGAAGAGTTTATAATATGGATGTGTATCACTTTACGGATTATGTACACAGTAAATATTCTTTTATTCCCTATTTCTATTTAAAATGAACATTTATATTGCGAGCGAATGTATTATGAATCAGAAGCAAAAACATATATTATTAGTAAATACAACAAACATAAAATTTGAGAACAATTAAAAACTATTTATTTAAATATTTCATTTAGAAGTACTCTAATTATATTTGCAGTTATTTACTGAAATACATATTATCATATAAAATTATCCAATAAGACGAAAGAATCCAATAATTTGATGCGTTTCAATTATTGATAATAAGCAATCAATTTGAAATAAAAATTTATGATTTTCACTAAATTCTTCAAAACATGTACAATTGCATTTAAAAAGCCCAAATAATGTTTATATAATTTTAAATATTAGTATACTATAAGGCAACAAACTCGACCGAATTCTGTGATACTCAAAAGTAAAACAAATTCGCTACTGTTATAAAGATAATTGCAAAATGTAAGTGTGTTAATATATATAAATAAGAAAGTCCAATTATAATAATGAGGTTTTATGATAAGTTTCTTTAAATGCATTTATGCGTCAACTCAATTTTTTCATTCAATAACATTTGTTTTACTTGGAATTTTGGTTTACTGAATTGTGTGGGATATTTTTGCAACTGGTTTCTGTGATGTCCAATCAATTCAAGGATACAAATAAAATAAAATAAAGCGATTAGTAAGGAATTCGGCAAACATTATGTTATATTTTATAATTTTGATCAAAATTACCATTTTTTTAAGAAATCGATGTAAGAAATAAAGATTTAATAGTGGAAAATGATTGATTGAAGTACAAACATAAAATATTAAAGTCAGTTAAGTCAGTTAAAATTTCCAAGAAATTGAACATCGATATCTATAATACATTCGTTTTTTATTTGGAGCCTATTTATTGGGAAAAAAAGTCTGAACTTTTGAACTAACGCATATCTTTAGGAAAATAAGTATAAAAACTATATATTTACGTTGTTATATTTAGTATTAGTAATATTGTTATAACCTTGAAATTAATTATAATATAATGAAATATATTATATATAAACAATGGAGCCATGGTAACATTTTTTTTTACAAGAGGCTCGAACTATATTCTATATGCACTAGACAATTGCTGTACTTAATAGTGATTTAAAATTATGGTTGTGTTGAAATAACTGTTTATTTTTTTGTTCGTTTATCTATTGTAATTGTTTCAAAACGACATGAAGTAATTTGCCTCACAAATTGTCTGTTTTCGAACATATTGTTTTGATTTACTAAACCGAAGTAGTAAGGCGTTGGTTAGATCAAGGATGATTCAAATGAACATAAAATATATAGATAAATAATCTATTTAGTGACATCGTCATTACAGATTCATCGATCGAGTCAATAATAAATGGATATACATCATATTTGTAACAAATTGTAAATTTATTTATTGACTAAATCGGGGTAACAAATATAACAATTAGAAGCAAAAATCTTTATAAAACTTTCGATATTAATAAATTTAGCAAAAATTTAAAAAAATTCTTAGTTTTAAATAAAGCTATATTTTGTACAATCCTTTAATTTACATATAAAAGGAGATTTACTAAGTTCATCGAAATAAAGTATTTAAATTAGAAAATTTGATGATTATCACTAATTGCGAACTTTCGAGCTACGAACATGAAATAAATTTATAATTGTACTTTCAGATAACGTTTGAAAAAAATAGGTGGATCGTTTTATTTAAAATGAGTCACAAATATTAATGAGATTATTCATGCGTTTACATTGGTTTTTATCTGTCTTACACATTATCTATATTTTCAAGTTTTGAAGACGTTTCTACTTTTGTAATAAACGTATATGGACTTACATCGAATAATTTGATGTATTATATGTAAATGCTGTTCTAAATACGTGTTAAAATTTTGGTTGATTCTCGAGTCAATAATAAAATTAATTTGCTACTTCTAAATTTATTGTTAATTTTATTTTATTGATAACATTTGATCAAATTGGATTTAGTTAATTAAGCTTTAGTTAAAAAGTGTTGCTTTTTTTTTGTTTTTCATTATCTAAATATAGATATAATACGTGCACAGGGTATGTGCTAAATACGTGATTGAATTGTCGTGTTTTTGTCGACATCTATTCCACCTTTTCGCATCAGTCAAAGGTATTTATTTACCGATTCACTTAATTCATTTAGCACACTTTTGCACGTGAGTTTCTATTGACACGGTCGTCATGTGCTCTGAACGAAGTAGCTAGATTTGCGAAGTTTTGTTTGAATATTTCTTACAAAATTAATTTCTTCAACAATTATTAACATAAGTCTATGTAAGACGCAAATTTTACTTTTTGCATACTTTGGATATTTCAGTCTACTATTACCTTCGAATTACAAAAGTATAAATCTAGTACAAAAAATTCATATAATATGAACGATTACATTTATTTCAAACATAAATCTATTTTTTTTATTGTAATTAATAACAGTTGTAAAACAATAAATATTTTCGTCTCTTTATATAACATTTCTGCTCTATTTTAAATTCCTTATACTAAAATATGCGTTTTATAAGCTACGGATATAATTATAAAAAAATAACTAGATTTACGAAACATTGCGTTGATTTCATGTATCTCTAAAAATAACTTATATCCAAGACGGTTTGTGTGTGTAATTTTGATAGAATACCAACGTGCATGTAGAAAGTGCGTGGATTCTAGGTGAAAGAAATTTTGGTTGGGGCAATTTAAATTTTACGATTCCGTAAGTGGCGTTTATTGTCGTTTCCTTTCAACGCGGCCTTTAATTTTAGTCAACGCCTGGAATTGTCTCTGAGATGGAAATTTCAAAAAAAAAAAACATCTGCACGTACAAGAAACATAATTATTTACATTTTTAAATTATAAAAATAATCTAAGAATCATTTTTCTATTATACAGTGGAACCTCACTTAACGAGTTTAATCCGTTCCAAAATTATAGTGAAACATATTAAAAAATACACACAAGTTTTAAAAACGAGTCATTTTTATCACAATTAATTTTGCTCGTTAATCAAATCGTCTATTATTATAAAGATAATTTTGTGTATTCTTGTTTGTGCAAACTTGAGCTTATTTTATGAATGCAAAGAAGCAATATTAAACTGTTTGCTGTTTATGAATCGCCTTGCAATTAATTCCAACACGGGGACAGTATGCAAATTCATTTCCTGTGCATTGCGAAGATTGTTATCTGAACAACACACCGCAGAGACGTAACGCGAAAAATTGTCATATATAATTTGGTTAAACTTATTAATTAATTAATTCTACAACTGTTTAATTATTATAAAGTCATAACTAGAAACGCGAATTCAAAGTATAAAACAAATATAGCGAAACATATATTACCTTATTAGTCAAAATGCTGGCAGAGTAATTTCGCATGATCAGAACAAGACAACAAAAAAGAAAATACATTGCGCAAATCGCACTGTTCAAGGATTTTTCCTTGTTCATCTGATGTACAAATTGTATGAGTAAATAATACCACGTTTATATAAATTATTATGTTGCAGACAATTCAATTTAATTATTTATTTTTTTTTATTAATAATTTCGTATGAAGTTACAAAATAAATAAAAGATAATAAAAAAAAAACAAACATTGATAAAATATAAAGGACGTGGAAAATCCACTTACATAATACTTAGTCTTATATTGAAGTTGTGGTCGATAAATTTCAATTTATGTTTACGTTTTACACAAATTATAAACAATTCCATCTTCCACGCACAGTTTATTATGACATCGGCCGACCGCCAGTTTTGCAACGAATGTCACCATAATTATTATACTTGGGATTGCTCATACTGCATTTAATAACAAATAGTGTGAGTTTTATTACTGATTTTCTCATGAAAACAATGTTTATAACGTTAAATAAAGCAAATTATGTACTTGCACGTAATTATTTACATGCGTCTTCAATTAGTTTATTGATCATGTTAAATTATCTTGGTAAAAGTAATAAATGCACAAAAATATATGTACTCGAATTTTATTAAATCATGATCATAAACATGAAATAGCATAATTGCTTAATGCTCATTGTGAACTTTTTTGTTTGTTTTGATTTCTATAACGAACATATTTATAAATTTTTAAATTAATTTATGAATTAATTGAGAATTTTGAATTTTTTTTAGTAAATTCTGATTTGAAGTCGGTTTATTATCAATAAATGCGGTTTAAATGTTGAAACCAAAGTCAGTAATAAAATAAATCTTTTTCACAAAGAAACAATTGTTTCTCATTCTTGGTAATATATACATTTTTATCTAAAGATTATTTCATAATAAAATATTCCCTGATAAAACCATGAAATTGAAGACCCGTAGGAAACGGAGCTTATCTAATCTCCATCAGCGTATTCTTGGTGTCACGAAATAATGAGTAATGGAAGTAAACTGGTCGGCGCATTGTATTGTGGCTGAATGCGAGTAAGACGAAGAATTTCCACGGAAGCGATAAAAAAAATATGTATCCATGTTTATTGGATTGGAACCGTATAATAGATTAGGCAAGCCTTGGAACGGAATCTGGATTAGGAGGTTCCTCTGGGTCATTAGAATCGATTCATATATGTATATATATATATATTTGTTAAAGGCAATGATGATTCGAAACTCTGGGCTAAGTCTAATTAATATTTATAAAAAGAGTTTCGTTTTTGTTTTGTTTTTGGGACTTGTTGCATTCCACTCCACATTTCACTCGCGTATATGTATTTCATTCGCGCACTCCACTTTCTAAAAAGAGATTCTTGTACGTCCATCCATGTATATGTGCGTGTATATTTATATTTTTCTCTTTTTCCTTATTTCCTTTGATGGTGAAGCTCTTCGCGATCGTAGGCGCTTCGAGTGAGCAAAGAGTAAACTTTCTGGGGCCAGTGATTAACTAGGGCGATGCAATTATAATGAACTGACTAAGTCAGAACTAGAGAGAGAGAGAGAGAGATAGAGATTGATAGAGGGAAGAGCACAACAATAGAAACGGAGAGAAAAACGAGACTAACTGTGAACATGAAAAGTTTAAAGGCAATTTTTCGTAGACAGAAGGATCAGGGCCAGGCGCAAGCCGGCGAGGACCTGTCTAGAGCGTCCTCTATATCAAACCTGAATGAGAACTCCAAAAAGGCTGGAGCTCTCTCGAAGGTCCGCAAGTCTGTATCCAAGGATCGCTTGGATAATGGCGAAAAGCGATTAGACAAAAAAGGTAACTACTGCTATTTAGGTACATGAGGTTGCATGGTTTCATAACGTGTGTTTCTTCGATTGCTATAGGTTGCAAAAATAACAATCACCAAGTGGAATTGGATGGGGCTGGGGATGAAATAGAAGTGTTGCAGAAGCAACTCGAAGCGATGACTAGCGAGAAGGCCGAACTAGTGTTGCAATTAGGTGAAAATAGGAATCAATTGACAACGCTCGAAGGGGAAATATTTCGCCTGAAGGTAGTGACAAATTTATTTATTTTGAAGATTTTGTTGTCTTCATTGCTGTAGATGTTGCAGGAGCAGTCCGCTGTTCAGATGGAGCAGCTCAACGGGGAAAACGCGGCACTTCGGAATAAACTAAGAGATGTAGTGTGCTCTCCATTGAGCGACAACGAGAAGCAAATGTTGTTATTAGATTCACAAAGACATCATAGCAGTGCTCCAGCGTCCATAGCAACAAACGCTCTGAACGAAGGCGATGCAACCACTTGTTCTACGCCTGATTGGGATAAAGAAAGTTGCAGCAATGTCAGCGAAGTCTCCGTGGCTTGTCTACAGGATAAAATCAATCAGATGCAGGAAACCCACTATAGGTAGATATTAAATGATGAACTCATTTCTATGCCTAACGTCCTATGTTACAGTACAAATGAGGAACTTCAGGCTACACTGCAAGAACTCACGGATCTTCAGCGGCAACTCTCTGAGCTCCACCAGGATAATGAAAGGCTCATGGAGGAAAAGGGACTAATGTTCCAATCTCTCTGTCGGCAGACTGAACGTTTGAACGACGCGCGAGATGAAATCGATTCCTTAAAGCAGCTACTGTACAAAGAAAAGGATACATCGGGTCAATACGAAAGCGTCGTAGAACGAGAGCAAAAGTTGCTGGAGCTTCTGAAGGATTCGCAGGAAGAACGTGAAATGCTCCTGGTTAAGTTGGAGCAATGCAGCGCAGAGATTACGGATGTTTCAAACTTGAATATCCAGCGAGACAAGGAAAGCATTCAAATGGAAGAGCGTATCCGCACACTGGAAAGTACTCTGGATGCCAAGCACGCGGAACATAAGTTATTGGATCAGGAGATGGCACGAGCCAAAGATGCGGCCAGCAGTAGGCAGATCGAAATCGACAGACATAAAGATTTATTGGAGAACGCGCGCACCAAGGTGAGTTAATTAGTTAAGAGCCTATCATTAGAGCAACAGTAATGAACTATGGATAAATTGTATGGTTTAGATTATCGAATTAGAGCAAGACCGTACCGTCAGCGATAAGTCTGAGTTGGAAGAGCTGTTGGATAATGCTAGGAAGGAAAAGGATTTATTAGAATCGGAAGTAGCCAATTTGAAAGAACAAGTTGCGAGAGGCCGGAACGAAGGCGAAAAATTACGAGAACAGGTCTCGATTCTACAAGAAGAATTCAAGGTATTCCGTTCTCATTTCATTTACGAACTTTTTTCTATACCATTGTTGATTTAGGTGATGCGAAATAATGGAAAGTGCATGCAATCGGAATTGGAGTATAAAGTCGAAAAATTGATGATGGAGAAGAGCCAATTGTCTGAGCAATTACAGCACCTAGATGAAGCTGCCAAAGAGCTGCAGGTTCAAGCGCAATGCCACTTGGAGGACAAACACCAACTGTCATCTGTATTATCAGAGACACAACGGAATATGAGCGAGGTCGAACGTAGGAACATCGACATGGAAACGGAATTAAGGCATCTAGAAAAGCTTCGAGCCGAAGAAGTACGCTTAAGCGTTACAAGTTTAAAATCAAGTTTACTTAATTGTTTTTCTTTGTAACGTTATACAGAACGAAGAGTGGGACAAATTCCAGAAGGATTTATTGACTTCGGTTCGGGTAGCCAACGATTTTAAGACTGAGGCACAACAGGAGCTCCAAAAGTTAGTCCTAGAAAACAAGACCCACCGGGACAAGATACGGCAATTGGAAGGACAACTCGAGAAATTGAAAGGTAAGGACTGTTTTTTGTTTATTCTTCTATTATCTCACATGCATGTCATCTCTATCTTTTATTTTCTCTTCTTCTACGATAAGAAAATGTTGATACTTATATCGGAGGTCTTAAAAATAAGTCTAAAAGCTGCAGCGAGTTTGAGGAGTATTTGTTTGACACTTCCCCAGTCGATATTGTTGACGAAGAATATAAAAAGATTGATAAGAGTATTCCGTTCGAGTTGCTCCCTTCAGAGCAACAATTTATTGTTAAATTGAAGCGCAGCAACGATATATTTTTAATGAAACAAAAAGCACAGAAACGCCACTTGGGTTCGGGAAAGTCAGTGGCAATCAGCAAACCTCTCTTAGAGTCAGTGTTTGAAAATCCACAGCTTAAAGACATAGTTGAGAATCAAGAATTTGCAAGTGTTGAAACCTCATTTAATAATGAATCTGTGAGAGATTTGAATCCAGTAGAAGCTCAAATTGTAAAACAAACAATGGATGGCAGAGCATCAGACATGAGCGAATATCAGGATAGCGTACTAATGAAGCATTATTCAAATCCAACAGAGGTGAGACGTCTAGGAGTCATTGGAAAAAATTTCAATTTAGCTAGTTTGAATTTAGAACCAGAAGAATTATTTTTGAACATAGATGAAAACACACCAGAAGATCAATTAGACAAGGAAGGCAAATATATTATACGCTTAAAGAAGGCAATTACAAAAATGGGCCCTAAAGTGGCGTTGAAAAAAAGGGCTTTCAATAAGAAGAAGGTAGTAATTTCATCTCCGAGTTTAGAATCCGCAATGAGCAATGAAAATTTGAAGGAAATCATAAACAAATTTGATGTTAAACCTATTCGCAAAAATAATTCTATTAAACGTTACAAAGACGCTAGTAAGATATCTGAGAATATTGAAGTTGAAGAGAATTTAGCAAAGATTTCTCCGCGATCGGATAAATTACGATTGAAAATTGGGCTAGGATTGAAAGCTGGTTACAACGTACAGCAGGCGGAGAACGTGGACAGATTATCTGGCGACTCTTTTGAGAGTTATTCAAAAGTTAGTATAGATCCTAGGCAAGAGACATTCAAACCTCTGAAAGAATTAAAAGCGATCCAAGCCAAAGAATATCTGAGGAATTCTTTGATAGATGCTCCGCACGTAGTAGGACTAAGTACACAGAATCCTAAATTCTACGACGATGAATATTTGTACGAATCCCCTATATACGAAACTCTTGGCAAGAGGAACAACAACTATTTCGTTGAGGACGCTTTGGATCGAGGGGGAAATTACAGCTGGGGCTCGGTTTCCGATTCTAAAATTACCCTCTTCTCTAACAGCGAATCGACTCCGAAGATATTTAAAGAGGCCGGAAACGTGCATAGCTTCAAAACGTTCGGTAAGTCAACGCCGAATTTAATGGCCGAACTCGAATCAAAACCGATCGGCCTAGGTCAACGGACAAAAAGTGATAGCTGTTTAGAAGATTCTTATAATGAAGAAAACATATTAGAACGGACGGAGAAATCCGGACATCTTAAGATGGCAAGTAAACAGATTCCGCAGTACGCTATAATTAACAAGAACAGAAAAAACAAGGATTTTTTAGAGGACCTTACTTTTAGCTTTGAAGCGGATAGATGCGAAGAAACTGTTTACGAAGATGTAGAGTTTACAAAAAATCGAAAAGTATCGACAAGAAATCCGGTGTTTTCGACTACCTCTTTTAATGCAGGCAATGTGATAACAACGGACAGCCAAAAACATACCCAATCCAAAGAAGATTTACCTGAGATCAGTGAAGATATGAGTATTGAGTTTAAATATGAAGAAAACAACTTAGAATCATTATTGGACTCACCGAATGAATTGTTTTCTTTTTCTAAAAGAAAGTCGAAACCTGTAAAATTGCATGTACGAAAAAACAAAGAAGATTTAAATACGCAAAATGATTGTTGTGTCAATTATAATAAACAACACGAAGAATTAAATGAAAAAGATGATAGTTTAGAATTAATGGAATCAGCGCCACAAATTGAAAATATCGAAAAAAATAAAATACTGAATCATTTACAAAATGATTTAATTAAAAATCAAGTATGTAATGTTGTAAATATAGACGAGCAAAATGAATTTNNAATAATGATTTGGAAAGCGCAATCAATGATGATTTAAAGAATAAAGAATTAGATTTGTGTATCGCATCTCAGGTTAAGCTACAATTGAGTTCTGATACGTTGCAAATAGAAACAAACGAATATTTAACAGTATCTAAGTATGATGTGGAAAAATCTGCTCAAGATTATATTTCAAAAGTAGAAACAGTAGCTTTTGAGGATGAATATATTGATAAAAATGATGCATTATATTATGATGGAAATGAATTGTGTAATGCTGATCATGTTGAAAAATCAAATGGAAATTATAATTCTGATTTGGATGAGGAAGATTTGCGTTTGATACAATTTGCGCGATCAATAAGCACCGAATGCGACGAAGAATTAACGGACAATGATCGTAAATTAATAGAATATGCGAGAAGCGTAAGCGAGATACAAAGAAAAGTTGAAGATCAATATTTCGAATCGCTCGAGTCATCAGAAATTGCAGATGAGGTTACTAAAGAGGATTTTCAAGAACTTACTACCCATTACAAGGATGTCTTGAATAGTCTTAAATTGAAATTTAAGACAACTGATGACGATGCCGTGGTTTTAAGGAGAAAGTCGAATTACATGAATGTGGATGCAGCAAGTCAGTGTAATCGTTTGTTGAGGATGTCAGATCCGGTGCGAAAAACACCGGTGCCTACTCCCAGAGCATTAAATAGTATCAGCTTGACATTGACATGTAATGACGGCGGGGAGATGGAGCATAACGTAGACCCACAATCCTCGGACAGCAAGGATACCGACGCCATACCAACGATTCCATCAGCGACAAAACAGGAAAACCCAGAGTCAATAGCTAGCGGCACATCCGGCAGTCCCACCGATTTGTCAATGGAGAATATATACGAATCGAATTCATCCAGCGACGATGCTATTTCAAGCAGGAACTTGGTCATGGATTCGTCGTTCATGGACATGTTCAAGAAACCAGAGGATAAGGTATACGAGTCTCTGAGCCCGGTTAAAGAGAAACGGGAGTATTTTACGTTTACGGTAAAATCCACTGGCGAAAAGGTTCCAGAGCCGGTGAGGAATTCCAATGACAAGGTGGCCGCACTGAAGAAGCGCTTCGAGGAAAGCAGTTCGCACCGAGACGAGCATCATCCGCACGAGGAGCCCGCAGTTAAAGATGCCCTAGTCTGCGGCCCTACATTCCACAACATAAACCAGATGGCCCCACCACCGAGCACTGTCGAACAGAAGAGAATCGACAACGCCAGCTACAGCGAGGTGAAAATCCAAGACCAGAACTTGGAGTCTGCCGAGGAAACCGAGAAGAAACACATCGACATCGGCAACTCGAGGGAGAGCTTCGAGATGGCCAAAAAGATTTTCGAGAATAATGGGAAATGAGTTTTGCTTTATTTATACTCTATCCGTTTTATTATTTCCTTTCCTAAATGTGAATAAAAAAAAAGAGGTTTCTTGTGATTATATTATATATATATATACATTCAAATGTACATGTGAACATTTTCTTTCGGATGGGCTTTTGTTGCGCGCTATTAAGGTTTTGGTCTATCCTCGCTAATAACACTAATAGCTTTTGTCATGCGTTAATATAAATAACTGGTTCTATTTAGCCGTCGAGAGTGTGCCGATGAGACCTACCAGTTTCCCAACTGACGAACTCACCAGAAGGGCCAGCAAAGTCTCATTGAACCGCCAGAATAGCCGACAGAGCGTCAAGTCACTAATCGAGTCCATAGAAAATGCAGGAAAACCCCTTAGCAAATCAGGTTTGAAAACAAATCTATTTCTGTTTATACTAATTCCAGCATACAAACATTCAACACTTGATAATTCTCGAAGTTCATACAATATACAATAATAATAGTTAAACATGATCATTAGTAATTTATTGAACAACTCATTACAATAAATTGATTAAACTATTGATTATTTGTCAGAATATGTCGTATAATTAAAATTTAGTCATTTTTAATTTAAAAATACTCCTCTGCGCTATATGACTATTAAAAATATTTATTATGTCTGTCCACACGTATAGATCTAATTTGATATGACTTTGATTTTATTTAGTAACGATGATAAAAACAAATAGATGAAAATGTTGTGATGCTCATGAATATCAAAGTTTTACAGGTTAGAATGAAAGCGCCCGCATCTCACAAAAGGGTCTTAAAAAGGGTGTCAGCAATAAACCAAGGGTTGGTGCTGGCTTTTATTTATCTACGTTTTGCATTTCATGAGTCATCGCTAGTACAGCCGCATTCCATATACGCTAATCGTTTATTAATATATGTATAACGAGCTTATTATAATTCATCGAGTTTTTAATTAATAACATTACATTAGAATACTAATATGAATCTACTTTCCAGGAAGCGTATCGAGGAGCAGTTCAGCCTCTTCCCTGAACTCTTTAACGTCGGATGGCCGGACGCCGTCGAGCCCGTCCGGTTCGCCCATGAAGAGTCCCTCGGAATGGGAGCAGAAGACTCCGCTGAAGGAACAAGTGCCGAATACCCAAGGCTGGTCAAAATCAATCATCAACGGTGCGCACCGTCCTCTTTCTTTATACAGATCCAATTTTAATTGCTTGTTTCGACTTTTCTTGCAGACGGAAAATCGGAGTCCATGAAAGGGAAGAACGAGGAGTGTTTGAGGGAGAGTATCTTGCAGCAGAAAGGATTAGATTACACGCGTCGAAATAGTTACACGGACCAAAGTGACCGCAAGGATCCGCTCAACAGTTTGGTCAAGAATGGCGGTTCCAAAAGAAACGCTTTGCTCAAGTGGTGTCAGAACAAGACAGTAGGTTACAGAAATATAGACATAACGAACTTCAGCAGCTCCTGGAACGATGGATTGGGTTTCTGCGCTATCCTACACACCTACATTCCAGACCGCATGCCGTACGATACATTGAAAGCGCAGGAGAAGAAGAGGAACTTTTCAATTGCATTTAAAGCTGCCGAAAGCGTAGGGATCCCAACCACTCTAGTAAGTACATAACACAATTCTTCAACTGCCTTAGAAATTAGATACGACGATTTACATGTTTCAATTTTCATGAAATTCAAATGAAAATCACTGATCATTTCATGAAAATTATATATAATATTTATTGAACTGTTCACTCATTTTAATTGTTTATTTAAGAGTATTATTTTCACCTATGTGATCGTAATGCATGTTGTTCAACTTTGAACTTAAAAATTGAGATTCAGAGATCCTCAAAAAATGAGTATTGGATAATTTTCGAATTTTTTAAAGTTACTTTATATAAACGCTGACTGTATTTCAAAATCAAATCAAATGATGTGCATTATGTAAACTATATTCTTATTATTTTTTTACTAATGAACAAATAGTCTCTATTTTGAAATGTTCAGCTATATACTGAATAAAAATACACTTTGTTATACTAATTTTACATGATTTACAGAACATCAACGAAATGGTTCAACAGGAAAGACCGGATTGGCAGCAGATAATGAGCTACGTCACCGCCATCTACAAGCACTTTGAGACTTGAAACGTTTCGGCGGGATTTCACGCTTAGGAAATCCCGAGTCATTTTCATTTTGGGTCGGTTTTCTGATATGTCATTACATGAAAAGTTTCGTAACAATGTATGTTTTTTTCTCCCCTCCTTTTTTTTTGTATGTTGTTATTGTAATATTTACGTTAATTTATTGCGCGCTGTGATCGAAATATGTTTTATTTTATCTCTTCTTTCTCATGTAGTGGTAAACATTGTATTCCGTGTTTAGTTTCGTTGTTCATTTACTTCTAGTCGCTCGAGCGAAAAAAAAAATGTTATTTGCTTAACCATTATGAATGAAAAGAAAAAGAAACCCACCCAAATCCAATTATATTTATAAACGAAATCAAACTGTACTGAATATATAAATATTTATTATTATATAACATATTATTGTATATGGCCTACTTGTTTATTCTTATACATATATATTATATATATTTATCTTTAAATTTATACTTGTTTAGTATTATTATCAATAATGCTACGTGCGTAATTTGTATGTAAAAATGCAATTTCGATTATTCAATGATAACCTTGGGCTCGAATAATCGATTTTTCCATTTGAATTCAATTTCGCTGAAGACTGCAAAATGTAATTTTAGAAAGTTCTTTCTGTAATTAGTATTTGTAATGATAGTGTAATATTTAGCCTGTAGTGAATACGAAAATTATAGTATGTGTATTTTATTTTTTATTATATTTTATTTTGAAAGAAGAAAAAAAGTGCGAAGAAAATAATAAAAAAAACGAACCGAAATATATATATTTATTTGAAATAAAGTTTTTTTTTTTCTAATAACCATAAATAATCGTGTCTAATGTTATTTCATCCTACAACATTTTCCATTGAATTTTCCGTCAAAAAATGGAATTATGTCTTCTCAATTTAATAAAACAAAATATGTATTTCATGGTTTACTAACTAATCTTTTTTAATAACAAGTTCAGTCGATTCCGCTTAATCGGGACACAATTATCCGAAGTTCCACAGAAATTGCAGTATTAGTGTTTTTAATATTTCATTTAATAAATTGCACAAAATAAAATAATTCACTAAACTATACATATTAAAAAATTGTATACGTACTACATATTAGAAAACAATATAAATTCTGGAACAATAAAAATGTATGTATCAGGCACGGTCCATTGATGCGGCTCAAGCCAGTGTCTCGATTAAGCGGAATCGACTGCAGTTAATTGATTTTTTTATGTGTAATATTGGGTTTATCCACATAACAATTCCTAAAAGTACACTTTTTATTGTCTGGAGTTTTGAGCTTTTATCTAAGTTAACTATTGTTCATTTATTTGTAGATCCATTTCCAAACCGGTTTTTGTCGCTTCCTTATTTGAATCATATCTGGAATACTCGATTAGTCCGGGTTTTTGACGGAACTGATTACGTTTTGCTTATGTATTAAATTAAATCGATTATACTACAAATGTATGTAAAATTAGGAATAAATAAGTTTCAAATTATTAACTGTGAATATATTATTATCAACAACAATATCATAAAAATATTTAGTAAATTCTCGAAAATAAAAAAAGACATCGGTTGTAAATCTGTAAATCAAGTAATAAGATGTAAAGTTTCTGGTTTTTGAACAAATTCGTCCTAATAATATATAATTTGTGCACCTTTCTTTAGTAATTCGAGAATAAAACAATAAGAAAATAATTCTCTTTTAATCGATTATAATAGTTGTAATTAAGACATTTTTTTTTAATAATAAGTTATTCATATTTACATAATACACAATAATGTGTTGTATGTGCAAATGTTGATATTAACAGTGAAATATTTTAATATGATATAAATTCATTGCCTTTTTTTAAATAAAATATAAACGGGTACAAAAACTGCGGTCAGTAGCCATTGTGCATGCAATAATTGTTTATAAATATTCAAATATAAATTTTAGGTTGAAAGAATTCGGTCATTGTCCTTCTTAAATACTGAATGCATGTTGTTCAATAAAATAATAATTTTATTTTGATTTTCGTTAAATAAATAATTGATTTGTGCATTTAAATAGTAACGGTCGTTTTAGGTTGAATCGAGTATAGACTTGTTGTCCCTAGTCCTGAATTATTTCTGCCTCTTCGAAAGTATAAGAAAAAAATGTTGTAGCTATTAATTTTTGATTACGGTTGGGTGTAATGTACTTGAAAATATTTTGGCATTGAGTGTGGCATTTAATCAGGTGGAAAATCCGATGCGATTGGAGAAAGAGACAGACAGAGGCGGATAACTGTGAAGGAGAATCAACGGGAACAAAAGGACGTCGAGGATATAATGATTAAAAAGCAAAAAGGTAGAAAGAACACGAATTGTTGTAACCAGTTCTGTTAAATCGGCGGTCAGTGAGTGGTGAGCGCAGACATCGAGCGGACGCAAAATGCGAGCTATTCATCTGACGGTCCTCGTCCTCGTCCTCTGGACGGACCTTTCCGGAGGCCGCACTGGCGTTCCCTCGAGCCCTTGTCCTCAGCTCTTTCAGTACTACAGAAGAGCAGACGATCAGATCTACGGCGTCCTCTTCATCGACAATCAGAGGTCGAGCGTCTACGATCTGGAAATCAATATGACGATCCCCATCCAGACTAAAAACGTAACTGACGCGTAACCATTCTCCAATCCAGATCAGCAATTTGTATTTCAGAATATCGAGATCAGGAGGATCACCGATAACACGCAGATACAACTCGGCAGCAGCATCGAGTACCAAGTTCACTTCCCCTACCAAGAATCCGTTCCAAGATTGACCAGCATATTCTTCAATGGGAATCTCCTATGTTACGGACCGCGCGACGAAGGTATGAAAATGGTTGAGAAATTATCCAAAAATTTAATGTTATCGTCCACAAATTCGAAGCACCCATTGTGACTTCGCTTTCTCGCAGGAACATCCTTCGCGTCGGTCCTGTGGATAAGTTGTCAGCGAGACCACCTCCGTCTCCGAATCCAAGCTTCAACAATCCATTCATCAATAACTTCAACAATTTCAATTTGAACACGGTTCCACCGCCATCGGAACCACCAGTTCTCGAAACGAACATCAACATTCCAGGAAGCCAATGCGGTTCGTGGATTACCAATAAAAATGTTTTACCTCTTTACTAAATTAAAGCAACTTTTATAGGTGAAACGATCGGCTATCAACCATTAATCTTCTCGGGGAAGCCCACGCACAGCGGGGAATTCCCTTGGCTTGTAGCAATGTTTTACTTGGCCGAAAAGGCTTACGCATTCCGGTGTTCCGGAAGTCTCGTGTCCGAACGCCATGTAGTCACTGGTAAGCTTCCAAACGCTAACGAATGGAAGGAATTAACTTTGTTCTTGCAGCCGCGCATTGCTTGAAAATGCCCGACAAAGCCATCAGCACCGAGGAAGTCCTGATGGTCCTCGGCAAACACAACCTAAAGAATTGGGCCGCGAAATCGACGATTGTCTCGGCTAGCAGATTCATCATACATCCGGATTATAAGACCGTTGGAGATGCGGACATTGCTGTAATTGTCTTGGAACGCACCGTCCAATATTCACCGACCATCAAACCTCTGTGTCTTTGGGAGGAGAACACCGGATTGGATTCCATAATCGGACACGACGGAATCGTCACCGGTTAATATCCATATCCAAAAAAAAAACCATTTCCAATAACTGCATGATTTTCCAGGCTGGGGTCGCGACGAAAGCGGAAAGGACACGGTGGATGAACCTCTGCAAATAAAAATTCCGGTGGTCTCGCAAGAAACGTGCCTCAGATCGGATAGTAGATTTTTCAAAATCACATCCTCGAGAACGTTTTGCGCAGGTAAACTCCGTGTATTTATTTAATTCAACTGTATCGTTTTGTTTTTTTTGTTTGTTTATTTGTTGCAGGTCGAAGGGATGGAGCGATCCCATGTACTGGCGACAGCGGTGGTCCTTTTTTCATGCAACGGAACGGCCGTTGGGTTCTCAGAGGAGTCGTTTCAGCGGCTCTTGTCAATTCCGAAACCAGACTTTGCGATTCCAGTAACTACGTTGTTTTTTCAGACGTGCCCAAATATAGAAAGTGGCTGAACAAAGCAATGGAATTACTTTGACCGTCGCATATTTTTATTTTATTTTATTTTTTTTTGTACAAATGGACCTGTAATGATGTTACTAATATATTTAATTAATAATTAAAACTAAATATGGTTATTTATAATAAAGAATCGCCGCGCACTGAATTATATACATTCAAATCAAGAATTTTCATTAATATTTGTATTCCAATTAACATTTTGTCGTTTCGTTTATGCAATTCATCGGTGTAAACAGACACAAATAGACATGAATCAATCGAAGCGCAAAAGCAAAACAAAAATTTCTTGTTATTTATATTTGAATAAATTTATAAATATAATAGAATATATCCCAAAATATGTTATAAAGATTTCTTAAATATTCAGAATTCAAGGTAAGTTACAATACACCACTTTCAATTAATATAACATAAATTAACATAATTGACGAAAAATAGAGCTCACCGCGCTCATGATACAAGTAATGAAGGTAAAACGGAGCGCATATTCATGGTCACCAATGCCGTGACTTAGAGGAGTAGAATGTAAATAAAACTTGAAGTTACTAAAGCATAATCTTCCAATATACACTAATCAGATATATTGTTGTGTCCAACCATTATTATTGTTATTGTTGTTAATATAGTGTATTAACGAACTAGAGACATCCACGGCGTCTCTTAGTCGCATTATTATATAAACATATACATCAGCATAAAGGAATCACTATGATTCCAGTTCGATACACTTTAATATAAACAGAGGGGAACAAGCCTATACATTCCCTATTGATACTCCTATACCTTTACTTGAATTCGGATCCTTAGGATTCAAGTGCATAGGATTTTGTCCCGGTCTTATAATAAACAAAACCACCGAGGCCGAATTCTCTGGGAACGCTTAATCATCAATATATACAAAGCCCTACTTCCAATCACAACTCCCACGTATTAATAACAATTAACTTTAGAATTAGTCTCAGTAAAACGTTCAAAGACTGATATAGTCTCAGTAAAACGTTAATATGAGGAGCATAGTCTCATAAAAACCTATAGTATAGTCTTAGTCAACCTTTTAAAGTATCTACAGTGTCTTGGAAAGAATGACCCCAAAAGTACCAATTATTATAATAAACTTGATTAAAACCAATTGAACTATTTAATTCCTACAACTGAGACTCAACAACGACAACACCAGACAATATTCGACTGTGTCCAGAATTCCATCCCTGGGATACAACAATATTTTTCGGTCAAAGTTACCTGTGATAACAAATCTTCGATATAACGAAGTCCGCAATTTCATGCCTTTACATATAAATGATTCCAATTTAAGACCAACATTCGAAAATCATCTGCAAAAATGACCAGATGTTAAAATCCATAAATTAAAAATTAAGTTATCCAGATGTCTCAATCGATAAGTTTCGAAAATCCCAATCAAAAGAATATAGAAATGTATTGAATGCAGAAGATGATGGTTTTTTTTCAGTAAAATGATTTTATAGTTAAGCAATCGGTGCTAAATGCAATTGTCAAATGAATGAGACAGAAAGCACAAACATCAACTTGAGACACATATTTAAAAATGTATTTTCAATTTGAATGTAAGTTGACGAAAGAAAGAAAGAAAGCTTTTAATTTTCTTTAAAAAGGAACGTATTTGTTAATAATATATTTATCTCTGAAAGGAAACTTTCGCTTCATGAGGTAATTTCGCCAATGATTTAGTTGGGGCCTCAAATCGGAAATCATTCTCATCCAACTAAACTCATTTTATTATCTATGAAAATTGGAGTTTTCTTCACAATATATTTCTTTTTTATTGGGGGGCTTTTTTATTGTATCGAAATCGTGATAACTATAATCCCGACTGTATCAGAATCTCGACAAACATAATCCCCACTATATCGAAAATTATTACAATAACATTTTTAAATTATTTCGGAGCGTAGTCATCTTGTGATACACTTTCATTATTAATAACAATAAATTATTATTAATTTATTTAATTTTTGTTGAATTATTCATAATAAACCTTAACATTATGAAATAATCTCAAATACAATTAGATTATTAATTGTTATTATTTATTATTAATAACAATTTAAAAATGACTATAAAATGTTATATTTCGATATAGTCGGGATTTTGATACAGTCGGGATTATGGTTGTCGGGATTTCAATATAGTCGGGATTTCAAACGTCGGGATTTCGATGCAGTCAGGATTTCAAACGTCGGGATTTCGATGCAGTCGGGAATTTGATTGACGTTATTTTGGTTGTCGGTCAAATCGAGGGACTAGTGAAAAACTGATACCAAAAGGTTCCACCAAAAAAAAGGTTGAGGAATGCAGATCTAGAATACTTATTTATACATTAAGAGAGTAGTGGTGTTTGGGGCCCACATTTTTGTGGGCCCTATTTCGACACAGTCTGGATTTCGATGCAGTCGGGAATTTGAATGACGTTATTTCGGTTGTCGGTCAAATCGAGGGACTAGTGAAAACCTGATACCAAAAGGTTCCACCAAAAAAAAAGTTGAAGAACGCAGATCTAGAATACTTATTTATACATTAAGACAGTATTGGGGTTTGGGGCCCACATTTTTGTGAGCCCTATAAATCCCGGCATTATAGTTATTGTATATAACCACTGTATTGCACTCAATATGAATGATTCGAGCGTAAAAAATCACATCAACTTTTTTTTCTTTATATTTTTACGGCAATCGTTTAACGTAAATTGTAACATCAAAAGACTTACCTCATTATTATAGTAACAAAGTGATTAGAAATTAAACTTGTTGACATTGACATTTCCATTGATGAAAATATACACTGAACTACTGAACGTTTATTTGTTAATTAAAAAATGACTCATATATACCAAAGTCTACTGTATATATATACATAATTTAATAAGAATATATCAATTCCTCATTTATTTCCGTCCTTCCTATATAATGTTGAAACTGTTTTTTTTTTGTTTTGTTTTGTTCGGTTATAGAAAATTACAATATAATAATATATTTATATATTCTGTTCAATTTCTTTACATCATACACTTTTTCCGCAATCACCAACACAATCGATTACTTACATAAGAGACAAATCATACAGCTAAAGAAGTTACAATAAATTCGAGTAAATTTGAAATTGTAATTTTGGCAGTAAACTAAATTTGATCGATTAGATATTTGCAAAATAAACGTACATGGTTGTTCTTTTTTGTTTTGTAAAATAACATAAATAATAATAATGTATCACATCGTTGTCTAATAGAAGAGAGAGAGAGAGAAAAAAATTGTTCGTGAATTAAGCGTAAAATGAAATTCGTACCGTAAAAACTAAGCTGGCAGCTCATTCGATAAACAAACAAAAAATAATATTAAATGAATTGGTGCAATGCTTATTTACAAATACATATGTGTGTACATATAAATACAATTAATTATAACATACATGTATTCATATACACACATATGTATGGAGTTACATACATAATTAGTAATAATAATTAAATGATTTAAAGTAATAACTAAAAGGGTTTCGTTTTAATATTGAATTAACCTAAATATTTGCCTCAATTTATGGACGAAATCAATCGAGATTAAGACCTTAACTATTAACATGAACTTAAAAGAAAATGAAAGAGAGCTGTGTTTAACCTGTGGCAAAATAAGTACACACCAATAGAGACAATAAACGCAAACTATAAATAATGCTTACTTTCAACGGTTTTCCATGCTTAAAACTAATAATAATTAATAGTAATAATATTACAACGAAACGCTCTTTTCTTTGTCATCATCATTCATCATCCAATTCTTCTTTGCCGGCCAGCAAATGTTTTTTTTTAGGGTGGGTGGGATGTGTATGTTTGTGTGTGTGTGTGTGAATATGTGAATGACTCAAAACGTAATAATCGAGATGACAATGATAAATAATAAAAATAATAATAAACAGTCAATAAAACCTAAGAGCGAGAATCACTTTGTGTCTTTTATCAATAATTATAATTGTTAAGTCTTATCACACTTCTAAATGCTTCGATGCACCCAGCGACTTAAATGGTTCAGACCACATCCTCCTCAAATCACCCTAGAAAATAAGAAAAGAATAGTTAGTGATTTACGCCGATTTAAGTAAGAAATTGAAATCGAAACCGTTTATAATAAATAAAGATGTATTGAGATGTGTTCTATTTATAGTTGTACTTACTTTGAGATAGGCCATTGTGAGCAGTGGTAATAATGTAAATGGTACCAGGTAAAGGAGGGCAGGTTGGGCAGCCTTGAATACTTCCGAACTGACTGTGGCTGTCAGCAGTCCTAAGAAGTAACCTAGCAGGGAGCAGTGGAAGTAAGTTAACCGAGAGCCGGACATTCCCTGCGACTTCTTGTACGCATCATACCGTAACACGAAGCACAGCAGCAGACCAGGCATTACGATGTCGCCAAGACCTGCAAGAGAATAAATCCCGTTAGAAACTAATATTCCTAACTACACTCTGAATATCTACCTAACATGCTAAAGTGACCACTGTTGTGCATGCTGGGGAAGACTAGTTTACCGGGTAAACTAAGTTTCGGAACTTCTTTGGCGACACCTCCCAAGTGCAGTTTACGGGCCACGAGGCCCACGGGATTTTCTGCTGGTCGTGTAGCCACCTGGTCGGAAAATTGATTAATACTTGAAAGATGTAAGACGACGTGTGCTTACTTTAACCATAACGTTTGTGCTAAATATGTAGGACGAGAAAAACACCCAGAAGACGTCGTATATCAGCAAACCCGTTAACAGCAGCGTCGATACCTTCAAACTTGGCAACCGGACAAAGGCTATAAATGCCACGCAGAGGCCCATTCCCATCGCGTCCATAAGCAACCAATGACCTGTAATTAGAATTCTATTATTGAATATATCGACAACAAAAATACGAAACAAACAATTAACAAAACAGTTTCAAAGAAATTTTCATCAATAATTGTGAAATAACTTCAAATAAGTAAAGTTGAAAATATAGATGGATTAATTTGCAATTGATTTAGTTCAAGATTATTACATATTCCTGTTATTACATATTCCTAAAGCAATAAAATACTATAAAAATGTGATTGTTGAAAGTATTGCTTACCAGTCAAAACCCATATGCACACAATGGAAAGAGAGAATGTAAATGAGAGCAGTTCGGCCCCAGTAAATCGACCACATATTCCAAATGATATTTTGTTCCCATCTGAACATGGTCGAATAATGTATTGGCACATGGGCAGCAGCAAAAATGCCAAAGCCACAGTTGCTATTACTAAAATCAAATAGACACAAATTAGCACCAAGTAAGAAAGTACAACAAACTATCCGTACTTGCTGTGCAAACTGCAAAGAGCATCTGCATGGAATCGAAAAAGAAAAACATGATGAGCAGAGAGACACTTGCACCAAGAGGTAGACAGACAGCTTGAAAGGCATCCAGAGAGTGGACATTGCTCTCTACTGTTGGTGAATTAACTGATGGGTTGAGCAAGCAATTTGTGCTGCTATTGTTTGCCCTTTCTCTGGCTTCTTGTTCCATGTTAAGGCTCCTAAATGATCCATACACTATCAGGAGCATGGAAATGAGGAAGGTGGACACCCGGCTTGAATCCATGATGTTGTAAGCCCATTGGTACTCCACAGTCTGCTGAGGAACGTCCCCCATCTTCAGGCTACAGCAAAAACAAAAGATAAACAATTGATATGCTGCATAGGTGTAATGACCCTATCACCAAAAGGCAGTTGGCTTATGTAAACAAACGCACACTTACTTAATGTGTTTGCGATGTTTTTTTTTAGGAGGATCCGAAATTAGTGAGAAGCAACCAGTCTCATGCTGGAGGCTCGCTCCTAGTCCGTTCCAATCATAAATGAAGCAGTTTCCTCTCCTCTCGTTTCTCGTGTTGATAACAACAACAAATCCCAAAACTAATATATATATACATAAACACATGCATATATATATACATTAGCTGGGCACAGATGCAGCCATCTTGTTTCTCGTCCTCAATAACAAAAGAGCAGAGTCGGAACGAATAACAAATGCATTCGACGCCGCTCACTGGATCTGTTGCTTTGTCTCCTGGCCGGAGAAGGAACTTTCTAAAATACTATTCATTTCCTCCACCAGATTCAACTGAACGCACAAACCAGCACTCACGCACTGCTGCATTCATTCAACCATCCATCCACCTTTCCATCAACAAGCAACGCGCCGGCCAAACGTAAACATTCCAATAATCCTTTAATTCGATGCAACTAATGTCTAGCGAATTTAAGGGATGATCATTTTAGTATTTCAATCTGCAGAGAAAATGAGAAAGCTACATTCATAATGCCGCTAATGATTGCGCTACGAATGTTGCTCAATCCTTTTGTTATTATGCAATGCTGCATTCATCAGCTAGCTGCGTGGGTTGACTAACAACATGATTATTAACTTGACTTCCTTGTTGCATGTTATCATTGGGAAAACATTGGACGCATATCACATAGTAATTTAGTAAACTGCTTAAGAAATCACTACCACCTTTATTGCTAATTATTAATACTCAAGTATAATTAATTTAACTTCAAGATATAAATTAATTATAAAGTGTAATTTATTTAGTTGCATAGTTCATGATACATACAACACATTATTCTTTAAAACAAAATAAATTCTGGTATATACAGGAGAAACTAATTAATATTATAATTTCCTGTGCTATAAAACTTTATCCTTTATAAAATATTTTGATAGCAACAAAATATTTTTTTTAAACCTTTACACTTTCATATAATTATTTATTAGTTTTCCAGATAAACTCGATTTTTTAAGAGAAATTTTATTATTGAAGAAAATTTGTCTAACCAAGATAAACGACTTCAATATTTACTAAAGATAGCACGGTATTTAGATTCGTGATAAAGATGAAAGTATTCGAGTATTTCTAAAACATTGTTGGAAACTTAAAATGTCCAGAAATTGATGAACATTCAACGATCATTTATAATATTTTTTTTTGAAAATATCTAATAAACTTGCACTAAACTTTTGTATTAAAAAAAATTGACATTTTATATGATTTTGCGCCGAAAATAGTAAGAAACAGAACTTAGAGCAGGCCTTTAGTTCATTAACCGTGAACAAAGAGGTGTTGATGCAATATATAATCGTGTTATATAAATATCGTTGTATAAGAGTAATATATGCATTTAAAGATGAAATAAAACAAGAAAATGAAATCTAATTATAGATCATTTATTTAATTGATTTTTTATAGTTAGTTTATTTGAAATGCTAACAAAAATAATGGAAATCTCAGTAAATTTATAAATCTCCAAACATAAACAAAGACATTTCTGGTGCCAACTATAATTATTAATTTTCCACTTAATAATAATGAATTTAAATTTTGGTTTATAGGATTTTTTTCGTTTTTTTTTTGCGACTTGAGATTTCTCAAATCAGGTTGTAATTTTTCGTCTATATGTATACAGCATTCTATAAAATAACTAGGTAATCTGTATAATAACTACTGTTATTTGGTAAAAAAATATAAATTGATGTAAAATACTTAGTATTCTTTAAACTTAATAAGTGTAAACATACAAAGAATATAATATAGCTAAAATATATTATTTATGTACATTGTGGATACAATTTATGGAATTTCGGTTTTATAGAATTTTCAGCAAATACATAAATAAAATAATTCACTTACCTATGAGAAAGAAATAATCATAGATTCCCACATTCATATTCGATACTTTAGCAAATCAATTTAATATGTGACTTTTTAAACTGCCTTGGATGTGTTAAATAAAACGCGCAGAAAGCATTGTTCTTAAAGACTTTTATAATAATTACAGCAATTTTGTTTTCGTATATTCCATCTACACAGCATAATACATCCATACACACAATATTTAAAATCAGATGAAATCAAAATGGAGAATAATTATGTGATGAAGTTCATAAATGCAAAGAAAATGTTTGAAAATAAAAATTGAAAATAATTATACTTCATAGGAGTTATTTTATATATATTTCATACATTTTTCTTTTTATATTAAATGTATATTTAGTGATGATAATAATAACAGCCAAACAATTCGAATATCTCGAAGTGAAATGATCATATAATCAAATGCGGATGATGTTCAATGTATGTAAAATGTAGGAGACACTTGATAAATATTGAACGTATTACGAACTGATTAAAGACAATATTCTTTGCTTACATTATAATCTTATACATAAGCACAGTTAGTACATATATTATTTTGTTCTGCATTCATTAGAACCGAGGAAACCAAGGTTGTTCTTCTTTGTTATCCTCGATTCGTGACGGACAATTCGTCAGCTAATATTTTGTCGAGTGTACACGCATTCAAATGATTTAGATTGAAATGTAATTAGTCCTCTCAATGGAGTAGGCACACGCATATAAAAAATACTTCTTTACATTCATGTTTAACTTTTTTTTTTTCTCAATTTTTTCTTTGTAATGGATGTTTTATCCTAAACAAATTAGAACTCAAGTACAGAACAAAGAACGAAAAACTATGTCCGAGAGTTGAAGGAAACGAAACACGTATCTAAGTCGGAATGGATGTCGCGTGAATGTTCCGAAGACTAGGTTTAGAGGGTCTTCTTCATCGAAAGCGTTGCACCGAAGCAACTACAAGCATCCCAATATCATCCAACGAAACAGAAAACAAAACCGAACTCAATACCCTCTAAAGCTTCGTTACAAAACAAACTTGATCTTCTATCGTTTTCGAAACAGATACAAAATCAACGATAGATGTCAACAAACGTCTCTCGCAATTGAAATCCGTTACGAAAACAAACCGAACGAACGTTTCAATTTACAACATATACTATTAATAACAAGTAAATTAAATAATAAAATTAAAATAAAAAAAATATATACTAAATTACAAATTTTATTTAAAAAATAATAAGATTTTTTTGTTGGAGGAAAAAAATAAATGAGGTTTACTTTTTTTAATAGGAAGGAGGTGAGGGAGAGATATTTTTTTTGTTCTCTTCATATTTTTAGTCCTTGAAATGATTTTTTACAAGGGGCCGAGTGATGTCTGATGATTGAATTTTAAGAGGGGGATGGGCGTTTTAAATGTTCAAAAGATTGTTTTTTTTCTTTTGGTTAATTGAAACCAATTTTCTTGGGATGAGACAAGGCGCTAGATATTTATATATTTTTTTTTTCTTTAAATTGTATAATTTGTAAATAATACGGAGTGTGGTCGTGTTTTCTTATGTTTCTTTCAATATATATATATATTTTGTTTTGTTGTAATAATTATTGTCCTCGAGGGCCGCGCTAAATCAATGATACTCTAGTTTATGTTGTTAAAATCCGAAATTTCAATTCAACTTCCTCCCTACAACCGGCAGTTTATATCTAAGGAGGAAATTGAAGAGGTTGTCGGTCATGGATGTTGTTGCTCTTAAAAGAGGGGAACCGCAGGGCCCACGGGCACACGCACACAACTCATAATTAGCACAGCACACACTATGAGTGTCCAGTCATGGATTATTATTATTATTACAATTAGTATTATTATTAATATTTAAATGATTAATATTTTATCTGCAATTATTAACTTTTTCGAGGATGATAAAATTTAGAGACGCGCGAGTAGACTGTGCAGTGGTGGTGGGTGATTGATGATGGAACAAGATTTTTAGAGGAGAGAGAGCCTCGACATATATATTTTTACTTAATTACAATACATTAATTACACGATGATTTTTTTTTGCTGCACGTTTTTTTTTCTGTTGAAACACACATACATATATGTGTACAAATATTTTTTTTTTAAATGGGGATATGGAGTTAAGTGAGAGAGAAATAGTAGAAATAAAAATTGTGTGCCTGGATTGTTTTAGATTATTTTTTTGTTGTAGTTGTTGTTTCTAGGCCCCCTCTCCCCCTAGATCCTTATCAATATTATTACAAGGTTATTAAATACATTGGGTCGAACACTTCAGCACTTCAGTTACGACACATCTTGGTCCTCGACATCTTGAAGCTGATCCTTACCCTCCGCTTCACCTAAAAAAATAATTTAATTAATACATACATATAATACCTTCATACAAGTTTAACTTATAATACTAGTATTTAAAAAAATAATATTCAGTTATATATGATTCTTTTAACATTAATGCAATTAAAATTTAGAAAAAAAAAAAACGTTTTAATATGTTCATTCTGTGAAATAATAACGAATTTTGAAGATAATTGTTATGATATTAAATATTGTTAATATCTATTCGATATCAATATGTGAAGCAGATTGTTGTAATGAATGTATACGCTGCAAGAGTTAAAGCGTGTGTATATTCAGAATCTCCGACACTTCCTTTAGTAGAAATGCAGATAATGGTTAGCTGCTTGAATTGTGAATGTGTTTGTATGCTATTCATATATACTTTATGCGAATAGAATAGATGTTGAAAGGAATATCACCAACCATCTCCTTGCATATCGCTGGTCCAAAGGGTGAGGTTGTCCCTGAGCAGTTGCATGATGAGGGTGCTGTCCTTGTAACTCTCCTCGGAAAGGGTGTCCAGTTCAGCGATGGCATCGTCAAAGGCGGCTTTAGCTAGACGGCAGGCGCGATCAGGACTGTTGAGGATCTCGTAGTAAAACACGGAGAAGTTGAGCGCCAGACCAAGACGAATTGGATGCGTAGGCGGCAATTCTGTCATGGCAATGTCGCTTGCAGATTTGTAGGCGACCAGCGAGTGCTCGGCAGCCTCCTTGCGATCATTGCCTGTTGCGAACTCAGCCAAGTAACGATGGTAGTCGCCCTTCATCTTGTAGTAAAAGACTTTGGACTCGCCAGTAGAGGCGGCTGGGATCAGGTGTTTGTCGAGCACGTCCAAGATGTCGGAGCAAATATCCCGCAGCTCCTTCTCAACTTGGCTACGGTAGGTGCGGATCATCTCGAGTTTATCATCGGCGCCCTTGCTTTCCTCCTTCTGTTCTATGCTCGAGATGATGCGCCAGGAAGCACGACGGGCACCGATCACATTCTTGTAAGCCACAGACAACAAGTTGCGCTCTTCTACCGTCAGCTCCACGTCCAGCTTGGCAACCTTCTTCATGGCCTCCACCATTTCTATAACAAAAAAGAACCAAATGAAATATGTTATCACTTTAATTACATTGCAAAGGTTTTTCAGTAATTGTTGTGGTAATGACAACGTATTTGAAATCATTTCCAAACAATATTTTCATTTACAAAACATGTAATAAACATTCTTTCATTTAAAATAGTTGCAAAAAAACGTTGCTAGTTTATTAAAAAATGGGTGTTTCCCAGTTATAAACTGCGCCTTGGATTAAGGAATCAATAGTAAAATTTGTATAAAATACCTGGTAATTTACTATATTAGTTTCAATAGTTTACATTTTTTTAAGTTGAGATATATAAAAATTAAAAGCGTATTAACTCTTCAAGTATTTATCTATACATGTATTTTAAGTACACAAATATGATCAGGTTTTCAGTTCAAATGCCTAGAAAATGATTGGGATCTTGCATGCATATAGAAACAAAAAAAAGGTAGTTGGTGAGGAAGGATTATCACAGGGATAGAGACCCAGTGGATTGGAATGGAGCAATGCAATTTCCACCCATGTGGGGACTAGGACTGTGTGACCCGATTTAATGATCCGCATCACCTGTTCGAAGACGACGCCGCCATAGAATTATAAAGGGAGTGATGAGGTGGGCGATGGGAGGAGGGTAGAAACTGACGGACCGGAGCAGGCGCAACCTCTAAAGGGCCACCCCCCGATCAATACTTCGCGCAGCAGCCCTAGCAAACCAGGGGAAAAGAGAGATACAAGGCCGTGCACCCCACTTCCCAATAAAACAGCAACAATACCGTCCAGACGGTCGCAAATCCCTTCCATCAGGCGCAAACAATACGAAATAANGTATTATCTAAATATGACACAATTTCGCGATATTTAAAATAATAATTGTGGAATGTCTCAAATCGTCTATGCCGGCCGATGACACACGATGCCCATGACTCATGCTCACGCTATTCCAATAAAAAAAAATGGCGCACGGCATACATTCATACATATATAAACGCGGATTAACATCATAACAGAAGTTTTGAAACAAGCAAATTGTCATGATTACAAATGAAGGAAGAAAGTTTCTAATTTAAAAAGGAAGTTACATAAAAATAAAAAATAAACCTTCACCGAATTGAAAGCACCTTATCAATTTTCGTTTCGAGGAAATCCTCAGATAACGAAAAATGCAACAATTGCAACTAATCATAAACGAAAACGACGAGAAACAATAAAGAGAAAGCTCCAAATGCAAGTCGCCGGGTAAGGATTGGATGCGACTTTCTCTCCAACCCCACGCGTCGTATGGACTCGGAGGAAAAGAATCGAATCCATTACTGTATTATACAAGTCGACATTGGATAAACCGTAATCTTGTTTAAATAGATTCACAATAAATATACTAGCAGTAATGCGCATTACATTACATTGCGCCGGGAAACGTGAGAATGCTGTTTACAATTAAAGAAGTGTCAATTTGACGAAATGAAAAGTTTCCTGGCCAATTTTCTTAGCAGACTACAAAACAATTTTCTACAGATAGAGGAAAAAGACGCGTAATAATATAAACATGGTCTTTTCAAAATTGAAGCACTTAACGAAACGAAAAATGCAATTGAAGTCCCATTATTATTGTAATTAGAGGACGCCTCCTGCCGGATGCACTTATCTATATGCAAAATAGGGCTAAACGTTCACAGAACAACCTGAGAAAAGATTGTAAAAATAATTCCATCTAAAATTATAAATGTGCAGAGCTTTAAACCAACATTAATACAGAAATAAAATCGGAAGTAAAATGTAGGTGTATTTCGTATCATAATATCTATTTATTTGAATGATACATCCAGAAGCGTATGGGCGTAGACATTCACGAAATGTGTCCCCCCAAAGAAACCAATGAACGAACGCATGCGTATATCTAGCCCCGCCCGAATGGTGCAGAATATAGCATTATTTATTTTAATTAACCATTAAAAGATAAGGGCAAACAATTCTTTGAAAGCTGAATGCAAACGCACCTCAAGGACTGGCCACAGAAACAATGTCAGGCTCTCAAATTTTCATCACGTTCCTACTAGTTGTTGTTGCTGATCTTTCCTTGAAACGTATGAGCAACCAAAAAAAAAAATCAATGACAACTTTCGGATTGTACCAAAATATACCTGAAATTATTGTGCACTTAGGCAAGAAATAACAACTGTCTATATGGCCAAAGGTATTCATTTTTTGTATCAGCAGGTACACAACGTATTAAGCTTGCACAAGAATCCAAATCAACCATTATATAACATAACAGTTCTTTTTTTATTGTTCGAGTGGGTCGCACCCAATGCGCAGTGTTATGCAAGGCAAATAATTCCATTTTGTCGAATTGCTACCGAGAGATTGTTATGGGGTCGGTGGCTTGACTAGGAAGGCCCTCCTATATGGGCACAAAACGCGGAAGGCTACTGCCTGACAGGAAGTCGCCCTTTTTTGGATAACGCTCTAACAGTTCTCACGGTATGCACGTAAATAGCGATCAGTACTTTACAAAGAAAGAAAAAAAAAACAGGAGACAGAAATATTCAAATATATTTAAAAAGGACGCCCACGAGGCGTTTCTAAAAATCGAATTAATAAACCTTTACTTGAAGGTGACACAAACACCTAAATATTATGTTTGAAATGAATCAAGGCAAAATTTGACAAATATTTAGTGCATAGACTAAATTGAAAATGACAAGGTCTTGAACTAATGAATGAGATTAACCATAATCACTAAATTTAAGATGTAAACACAACCGGAATGGTCGACTTTGTTTGGGTTTCTGATAAACATTGGAAAGATTTTTAGTATCTCTGTTAGTACGCATTTTCAACCAAGTCATTCATGCTTCGAACTTCTCTTAGTTTTATTAGTTCATACAAAGGAACTACTTTGTTAATTGTAGATCAATATGTGTAATGTGCATATGTATGCACTCAGAGCACACTTTATGAGATTTACATAAATAACTGCTTTTTTCATTAATAATGAACGGTGAAGGTTGTTATGTACGTATATAATAGTGCACAAACGCTGCGTAAGAGAGCTTCGGTAGTTCCAACTCAATTTTAATGTTTTTAAATTAATCATACTCTTTTTTCTTTAAATATATCCAGTATAATTCATACAATTACTCATTATATTTATTAATCATGAAATTTGTTAACTAGGATTTATTTATTTGAATGTACTTGAGTAAATTGTAAAATTTGACAAGAACATAAATAAATTATTTGGCAAGTTTCGCGTATTGTGAAAAATAAAAGCAGAACGAAAGCCATTGTACAACATATTTATTGAAATATGTCTTCTCTTATTAGAACCTAACCTACAATTGTAGGTAAAGCAATACTGGTTCAGGTAGAAATAACGTCCTGGAATTTATTTAAAGAAATGGTATATCTTTTGAAATGATTATGAACGGCTACAAATTATATATATATAAAATTTGTTATTGGGTGGGATTCGACCTTCGAAATTATTTTACACTATTGATTATTTCCGTAAAACTGAAATGCGTATTTAAGAATGTACTAGTTGCGTTGTGGTATTAGTTTAATAATAAGTAAAGTAATTGTAACTCGATGTTTCGATAGTAATGTAACAATTGATTACGACAATAATAGAATATATTGGATGCATTAAAGAAATTGGGTTATGAATAAAAGCTGTCAGCAAAGAGATGATAGTTATACAAAGGGTGGAATATTTTAACGATGGGGATGGGATCGCTCGAATCTCTTCTCCCCCTGGCGAAGGATGGTGGCATTAAGAATGGAAGGACTGGGATGCGACCAAAGGGAAATGGAAGCGAGAAAAAATAAAACAAGGATCTGTCGAGGGGGGTAGGAAAGGCGATGGGAATTTGTTGATGGTTGATGTTGAGGGGATGGAAATGAGAAAACCGGGTGAGCTGCTGGGTAAAAATCAGCGCAAGTTTGGAAGCCGGGTGGATTATCGATCGGGCTGTTTGCACGTCGCTAGCGCCTACGTGCAAATGCACGCGATGGGGGGAAAATGCGGTCGCAATGGAAACGCCGGGCGTAAAAATGGTGGAAATGAAAACTGAGCGGACATGTAATGCAATCGGGGAGACAGGGGCGTGGGTGTTTTTTAGGGGGGAAACGATTACCATCCGGTCAGTTCGAGAAGAACGATCGGGGCAAAAAAAAA